AATAATAATAATAATAATAATAATAATAATAATAATAATAATAATAACTAGACTTACTATGTCTGTTTGTAAAACAGAATATAGGGCTTTTCCTCATTGCTGCAATGAGACATGAAGTCGTTAAAAAGTATAAAGTTAAAAAAAAACAAAAAAAAAACAAAAAAAAAAAAAACACGGCAACCCAAAAGACTTATAGTACTAAAAAAATACGAAGTTGAAAAAAAAAACAATGAAAATCAAGTTCACAACTTTTGAAATATTGCTGCAATGGTAGTACTGACGTACATCGAGACTCAAACACATTGTGCGATATATGAACCTCGTGTAGGCCAGTGTATTTTCTGTTTCTAGCGATTCAGTGATTGAAAGCAAAAATTGTCCTTGCACATCAAGGTAGTTTTTTAGTTAATATAGCTGAATCTGGTTTAAACGCTTTAGAAAACGCAAATTGCGTTTATATAACTTAATCAACTCTTCAAAAAAATCTTTAATTGGTCCTCATATCAACACCTTACTGCGGATCGTCACCAAAATTTCATCATTTCTTCATTTGACCATGAACAAATATTCTGCAAAGTTTCATTTTCATCCATTTATAACTGGGACGTAAGCAATTTAAATGACCCTCAAATTAACACCCTAACCTGGATCGTCCCGTCCCAACACATAAAAATGTCTTCCTTGTAACTTGGTTAAACATCCGAAAGTTTCATTCGGATCAGTTGACACGTTTTTGAAATGTCTGTTCTTGGACGTTTTCCTTTGAATGGTCCTCATATCGACACCCTACTCTCGATCGTCACAAAAATGTAATCATTTCTTTATTAGACCTAGACAAACTTTTATACAAAGTTTCAAAGGGTATTTGGGGCTGGGACCTCAGAAATTAAAATGACCCTCAAATTTACACCCTTAACTGGATCGTCCCGAACACATAATAATTTTTTTCAGTGTAACTTGGTTGAACTTTCCCGAAAGTTTCATTCAGGTCAATTGACAAGTTATTGAAATGTCTGGTGTAGACTGTTTGCCCTCACTTTAGTTGGTCCTCACATGTACACCCTACCTTAGACTGTCACCATATATTAGGAGGCACATTCTTGATTGTGGTGTATGCTTCGGCAAAGCATGAAAAAGTTGCAAACATGGGAAGTGACAAAAGTGCCCCAGTGCAAAAAGATAGGGGGAAAGTATGCAAGAAAAAAGAAAAAAAATCGCTTTCCCATATACTACTGGGAATAGCCAAAAATCAACAAAAACAATGGCTTTTCCAGAGCCCTATTTCTGGGAAAAGCCAGTTATTATTGTTATTAATATTATTATTACAATTTTCTTGATGTCTTGATATTGGTAAAATATATATTGCTTTTCTTCCACTCAGAGCAGTGTTGTGGAAAAATTTAAGCACACCCCTGATTTACAAAGGTCTGCTGTTGAGGAGGACGACGACGAGGAAACCAAATATTACATAAAGTAAGTTTAATTAAATTTTAGTTCAGTAGGCCTATGTAGGATATGTGGGAACCCAGATATTACCCTTCAATGCGGTTTTAAGATCTTCTGCCTAGGCGCCCCCAGCTAGTCCGGTATCTGCTTCAAGGATGTGATTGCTGATCTTTCTCTTAAATGTGGATAAACATTGATATTACTGGCTCCTCACTCCTGTAACAATTTCCAGTGGATTTGGTTCTCTACACCCTGACCTTAGAGATTATTCATAATGGACTTCTAATTGCCAATCATTACTTTCAACTTCATCAAATAATACCAACCCTGCAAAAAAAAGAAAAAAAGAAAAAAAAAAGAAACTCAGACAACACTGACACATTTTTCTCACCCTTAGCTATCATATCCGACAAACATTCACGTCCCGTACCAACACACTACCAATAATGTCCCACAATAATAATGTTTCGTTCACAATCATTTTGTCAGACACCCGTCACGAACACTCATTTCCTCACACTAAAATTCATGCCCTATGCCCCGGCTCACACTATCGATCATGTCCTATACCCCGGCTCGCACTAACAACCATGTCCTATACCGTGAATCACACTTTAAACAGCCATGTCCTATACCCCGGCAGCCGCACTCAGGCTCACATTACCAATCATGTCCTATCTATACCCCGGCTCACACTACCAATCATGTCCTATACCGCGACTTACTAACAATCATGTCCTATACCCCGGCTCACACTAACAGTCATGTCCTATACCCCGGCTCACACTAAAAATCATGTCCTATACCCCGGCTCACACTGCCAATTATGTCCTATACCCTCACACTAACAACCATGCACTATACCCCGGCTTACACTACTAGTCATGTCTTATACACCGACTCACACTATACCCAATCATGTCCTATACCCACCCCTACACTAGCAGATATTTATTTTACGATAATCCTAAGTAGAGATATTTTTTAACATAGTGTATTCGTTCTTAACCTATCCGAGCTTCGATCGCAGTGGGCAAGGCAACAGTGATGAGTTGACTTTCAATAAGCTATTTAAGAGGTGAATGAAGACAATAATCGCCAGATACACTAAATTCTCTATCCACAGAGCCAACTGACCCATGTATTAATGGTTATACTCACAGTATGAATTAACCAGTACACTACAATTCAGTATAGGGTATAGGTAGGGGAATAACCCATAACTTGCAGCGTCATTGTGCTGAATTGCGTATGGGCGTGGTCCGTGACAACCTAGCAGCCGTAAAAAGGCGCTTCTTGGCAGATACATGTTCACATTATTCCAAAACGATACGGGGGCAGAAATAAACCATAACATCGGGGAAATCGCCTACTCTCCCGAAAGATGCAATGGGTTTTTTTAACGTGCACACGAGCCATTTTAAGTCCTCATCTGAGAAGACTTGGCTCTACCCGTATTCCCGAGTAGGCCTCTGAAATTCTAGAACGTTCTTATTTCTAAAGATCCAGATATAAAGTGCAGTAATTAACTTATTCCAATTAGTTTCTCGTACATGTACAGCACACACGTTCCATCTCTCACATCTTCTCTTGTAAGCACCACGAGGAGAGGGAGAGATCACACCCACCTTGGGAGCAACATTAGCGCTGGCAGCCAATGGAGACGGGACGGATTTATTTCCAGACTAGCACTTATATATGGACACCGTCAGCCAATCAGACGGACCAATCACTAAGTATTTCAGAACTATCCAATTAATTTAACCTATTGCCCAAAAGAGCTGTTACAACGGAGGAGTAATTTTGTAACATCCTAAATATGCAAATATGCATCAGCACACGTTATACATAACTCACCCCTCTTCAGTTCTTTTATTAACATTACAACTGGGCTACGTGTTTCACATATAGGAATCAATTGAAGGCTAATTAAGTTATTAATCAAGTTAATCAATAATATCTGGTGCTGGTCATTTTGAGTCTACAGTGGCAAATCTTGGGAGCATCATTAACGCTGGCAGACAAAGGAGAAGAAGGATTTATTTTCTCGACTAGCATATATCTAGCTGCCCCATTAGTTTAACCTATTACCCAAAAGAGCTGTTAAAAGGGAGGATGTGATTTCTTTACAATATATTTCATTTACTTATTTTCAGAAGCAACAAAGTGAACATATTATTACGAAAACCTAAAGTACGGTGGCGGCGGCCGCCATTGCAGAAATTATAGGGTGCTATTTTAGGTCAGTTAGGCGAACTGATACACATGAATATGCATACAGACTTCCCTCTCGCGAAACAGATTTAGCGGTATATTATTTACAGCACTTAAAAAAAATAAATAAACAAAACAAAATAAAACAAAAAACATCGTCTTTTCTCCATCGTCGGAAGTATGACTCAACGTCCTATGACAGTGTACTAATGTATTAGTAGTACTTTTTAAATGTGTATATCTAGTATGTTTTGTTTTATCATGTAAATTACAAAAAGGCAACGGTGTGTAATAGTTATACCAGGGAGATGTAAACATTTTTAAATGTTCATGTACTAATAATATTATAAATAAAACATAACATTTATTTATTAAATGTTTTATTATAGAAGTTTCATTAGCAGTAGTTTATTACTGATAACAGAAATTATGAATCTAAGACGTGTGACGTATTTAGCAACCTAAATGCTAAACCTTTACTTATTACAACTTTAAATAAATAAATCAATAGTAATAATAATAACAAGAATAATAATTGTCATTATACAATAAAAACACTTTAATTCAATCATTACAGGATGTATTTTATTTTTCTAATTTCAATGTTCTATAAAATACCTATTTTATATTGGTTACTGTTTGATGGTGTTTGAAAGATAATTATTATTACGACACTATTATAATTCTTTAAGGTTTTTTAGGCTTCTGTAATATTATAGTATTATTTTGTTGTTTATTATTTGTACTTAACTCATATTTTCGGATATCAACCTTGTACAATCTCTGAGCTTTTTATTGCTGTCCTTTATGTTTCTAAATAATTTATGCTTTTTGATCAATAAATTGACTTAATTTAATCAGGAAACAGTGAATATTCATGGGCAAGAAGCTCACGATCTCAAAAAAACTCTTCTACCCTCGCGACAAACTTTGGCTTACTGCTCTCTCAAAGTGATAAACGGAAGCCGCGGCAAAACAACGCGATATTAATAAAGCGGCAGAGAAGGAAAGCACCCTTTGCTAATGAATATTCATATGAAATTATAGCGCCATCATTCGGCTTGGCTGAGAAGTCGAGGAAAAAACAATTCGCGGTCCTAAATTTGCCCGTGGGTACCAACTTACACAGTAGAGATATTTTTTAACATAGGCCTATTTCATTTACTTATTTTCAGAACCAACTTTGCCAAAGTGAACATTTACTACGAAAACCTACAGTATGATTATATCGAACAGGTACCAACGTACACTGTAAGTAGGCCATGAAGTAGCTACATTATACGTACAGTAGTAGCCTATTCCGCAAATTACAATACTATATAGACCCAGGGGTTCCCCCGTCGGAGAGAGCTGCTCCCCCCCCCCCCCCCCCCCCCCCCACCATCCCTGTTTGGAGAGAAAAACCACATATCTTTTCGGGGAGAAAAATAAATTATATGTATTTTCTACATAGTAGTTTCTATCTGTAAAATCGATTACCGTACTCGCGCGAATAAGCGCCCGGGCGCTTAAAATATTTGCCTCTTTTTGAGGGGTGCTTATTCGAACGGGGCGTTTATTCAAACAGGGCGCTTATAAAAGCAGAGTGGAAATTGAGGGGGCGCATGGAAATAGATGAAAATTGAAGGAGTGCTTATGAGAAATCGGAAAAATTCAAGGGGCACTTTTTTTTTCTAATCGAAGATAAGCGAATGGTTTTGTTGAAGAAAAAGTAATCGTCGAGAGAGCATGGCTCATGAGAATGTTGGGGAGAAACAGCAGATGAAATTAGTGGTGGTGGTGGTGGTGGTAAGCGTGTTGGCGGTCTGCCAATTCAGATTAGCAGGATCATTGCAGGGTTTCTTGCTTAGATACGAGAGTGATAGAGTTTGAAAATGGCTATACAGTATTTTCATTTTTAGGTAGGCCTATTAAATCTAGTAGTTCTAAATCAAAAAATGGTAGCAATAAAACAAGAACGGGATTCTAAAGATGCATCAAAACTGAAAACCATGTTAAACTTAATGGAGACTGATAGACCGACAGATGGATAGCTGGACTGACCGAACTACAATGCTAGGATAGATGCGAATAGTTTATGCAGAATATTAAGTTGGTGATGTACTGTTCTGTATTGTATGACTTTTCTTAGGAATCGAGGGGCGCTTATTCAAACGGGGCGCTTATTCGCGCGAGTGCGGTACTGTAAATAAGACTTTGAAACCCCTGAGTTTTCGGGGGATTCACTTTCGAATTAAGCAACGTCCGACCACACCCACTTTTCTATCTTCAGGGACATCGGTGCACCTGTCTAGGACCTTCCCCCACCCTCCCCCCGACCTTCGGGCAAATCCTGACGCAACCCCTGATCAGACCAGAGTACACGACTGCAGTAGTATTACACAATATAACATTGATGTTTGATATTCTTAATGGTGGTCTCCAGTAGCGTAACACATGGGTTCTCACACTGAAAGTGTGAGAAACCCCCAACCTTAAGTGGGTCCCAATACAAAATAAAATATTAATGACCTACAATATAATATAAAAAGAGATATTGTATTTGTAGTGGCCTGTTTAGGACATTATACCATGTTTAACATGCTCTGACTGTCTAGCGTATTAATTTCCAGAGGAAAACCTAGCAAAACGTAAAACATAAGCGCCTATTACATACACATACAACTATAGCTCAATACAATGCAAATGCATATCGTATGTTCATTGCTCCCAATAGTCTATATCAAGTTATCGAGAAATGCCTAATATTTTTTTTTCTTTAAAATAGTTTTTATCATTGGTAAGTAATGTTGGCGGACACCTTGGCCTGTGGATCGGCATGTCAGCTCTAACAATATTAGAGTTTCTAGAATGCTTCTACGACATTGTGAAGCACGTATGCGCAGCACTGATTCGACGGAGAAAGGTAAACCAAATGAAAAAGAGAAATACTGTTAATGTGCGTCCATCACGTAATGCTTTTCAGAACGATGCTTTTTCTCAAAAATAATTAGGAAGACAGGTATTAGCTATTTGTCAGAAGTGACTTACATTGGAATAGAACGGTACGGTGTATAGAGGGCGCCCATCGTACAGCAGTGAGTGTCGCTAAACCAAGTTCTACGATCCTCTGGAGCACGTGCCTCGTCACCTCGTAGTCTAATTTTTTTAATTCACTGACAAGTTAGACAGAAGTTATAGTCAGCATATCAATTGCCAATATATTATAATATTGTTGGGAAACTAGGCAAGTAAATTTCGTATGAATTACAGTAGACACAATTGTTTGTAGGAGCACAATATGAACAATATATTGACAATTTCATTCAGAAAGATTGGCAGTTAGACCTACGCTGCTTCGATGTGTTTACAGTGATGAATATTGCCAAATGTTTTGCTGTTTAACAGTATAAAGACAGTGCTTCAATCATCATTTATGGGCATTATTTATATTCAATTTTTCGATCATCAATGAAAAGAACATTTTATAAATGTATAAATATAGATTTCCGTAGAGTTAATTACGGAATTTAGGTACCGGAGTTCCTACTAGAGCACTGTTATTATTTATCTATTCATTTATATATATTTTTTTATAATGAATATATATATACAATATAAATCAAGAGCCGTTAACCCTGTTAAATTACATATAAAATATTTTTTTTCCCTTTATTCGAACACTGTATTTACCTTTCTTTGATGATATATATATATATAT